TTTGGAAAGCTGCAGAAGAGGATTACGATGTTTTTCCATTACCAAATAACCTAACCATGAGTCAGATCAAAAGCCACAAAGAAAGAAAAACCAAAAAACCAAAATAAAAAGCATGCTGGTTTGTTGTTGTTTCATTAACCATTTTCATAAGAATCATGTCTTTTAAATCAGCAAAGGATGTCTAGGACTATATGCAGAAAGAACATATAGGAGTTGAGAAAGGATGTGTTATGCAAGTGCTGAATGTAATAAGAGAATTTAAGCTACAAAGAATGAAAGAATCTAAGACTATCAAGGAGTACTCATATAAATTGCTTGTTATAGCTAACAAGGTCAGATTACTTAGTACAACATTCACATACTCAATCGGTACTTTAGAGAACACAAAAGATCTATCCAAAATAACATTTATAGAAAATTTGAATGCCTTGCAAGCTTAAAAACAACAAAGGCTTACGAGGCATGATCATTTTGCAAAAAGAGCTCTATCAACTAAGCATCAAGATTTTAAAAATTCTTTATGAAAAATCAAGCTTTAGATAATAAAATTATTACTAATCAGTTTTAGAACAAGGAAAGATATTTGAAAAAGGGCTATTCACCATGTCAATTTGTGGTAAGACAAGTCATCCACCATTTAGGTGATGGAAGAGACCGGATGCAAGGTGCAAATTGAAGTTGTTATTTGCAAAACCAAACCTTAGAAACAAGATGCAAATGCTCAAGTTGTTGACTAAAACGATGAAAATCAAATGTTTGTAATTACTTATTTTTCAACAAGAGACTCCTTATATCATTGGTATATTGATAGTAGTTGCATCAACCATATGACTTTTGACATGAGTCTTTTTAAAACATTGTAATCTATAAGAATTACAAAGTTTTAAATTGAGAATGGTGATTACATAAAAGCAAAAGGAAAAAAAAACCATTTCAATCTCAACAAATTCAGGTACAAAAATAATTTTAGATGTTATCTATATATCTAATATAGACCAAAACTTGTTGAGTGTTGAGCAGTTGATAGAAAAATGAATGAAAATATCAATCTTATCATATTTTTTTATGTCACTAGACAGAAGATACTATAGGTTAAGATAAGAGGTAAAAGTTTTTCATTCTTACTATCCAAAAAGGAGCATACAACTTTCTTAACAAAGATTAATAATAAAAAAGTATGGCACAAAAGACTTAGACACTATCATCTTCAATGCATGCATATTATAAAGAAGAATGATATTGTAAAAGGTCTGTCATTGCTTATTGATAAATTACCAAATTGTCAAGCCCGTCAGTTTGGCAAGCAAAACTAGAGCCATTTCCCAAATCAACATGAAGAGCTATATAAAAAATTCAGTTGATCCCTACTAATATAATAGACTTTAAAAAAAACTTTTATTAAAAGATAGTTGCTATTACAATATTTTTATTGATGATTTTACTAAAACGTATTAGATTTTGTTAATGAAATACAAGTCAGAAGTAGTCAAAATCTTTTAGAGATTAAGAAGAATATAGAGAATCAAAATGGGTGTAAAATTTAAGCCATAAAATTTGACAATGAAAAGGAATACATTTCATCAGAATTCAACCCATTATGTAAAGATGTTGACTTTGAGCATCAACTCACAACTCCTTGCACTCTAGAACAAAATGGAGTCAATACGAGAATAAATAGATATATAATAGAGATTGTCGGATGCATGCTATATAAGAAGGGATTGTCAAAGAATTGTGGGTAGAGCAATTAATATGATTGTTTTTCTTTAGAATCGATTTTCAACAAGAATTTTAGAAGAAAAAACATATTTTAAAGTTTGGTACTGTTATACACCTTCACTAATCTTTCTTAAGATCTCTGGTAGTATGTATTTTGTTCATGTTCCACATGTTAAGAGGGATAAACTTGACAAGAGGGCAGTTCCATGAATTTTTGTGGGCTATAGTTTAGTTTCTAAAGCCTACAAAATCTATCATTCTCAAACATAAAAGATGACAAATTCAAGAGATGTACAATTCATAAAGATGAATAATGAAATTGGAAGGATTCTTAAAACAAGAAGTTGGTTGAAGATCAAACACATTGGCAGAATGAGCTGGTTGATGATTCACTAGTTATAGGAATAAAGTCTCTAGCAGAACTTTATCAAATAAGCAATGTAGATGTGTGTGAACTAGAAGTACATGAACAAACACACAAAGATTCAAGACGACATAGAGCAATGAAAGAAGAAAAATCAATGATTAAAAAAACTCCACCTGAAAATTGGTTGATAGACCTCTAGACAAAAACATTATTAGAGTTAAATGAGTGTTTAAAATTAAATTAAATGTAGATGGATCAATCAATAAACATCCAGCTATATTAGTGGTTAAAGGGTATACTGATATATTTAGTTTTGATTATTGAGATACCTTTACCCATGTTGCAATATTAGAGACCATCATATTATCTTTCCATGTATAAAGGCTAATTATTAGAAATTGGTAGTAATTCCGTGAATAGAAGGAATTAATGTATAAGAAAAGAGAGGAACTAACAAGGGGTGCGTTCTTAGAGAAACAAAGCTCTCTGTTTTAGGTTTCTTTTGGTTTTGCAGAGTATATTGACAAGAAGATCCCTCAAATAAGGTGAAGGACTTCAGTATTTATAGAAGTAAAGGGTATCCTTGATTAATCCTTGTTGGCTGTAATCCTCTCGTTAAGTCCTAGTTCATATTGATATCCATTTGGATAATTTCTCATGGTAGATGCAAAACAGCATAATAATTAAGAGTTATAATGATAAATAAATAGAAAATGTTCCATTGAACTTTGAAAATAACCCATATTTGTACAAGTTCCAAAACAAATTAGCTATAACTTCACATTGTTGTTGTGCCTGGAAAAAATAAAATAACTGCTGTATGATACCAATATGAGTTCCCTCATAAATGCTGCTTTGAAAATTTGAAGGAAGTTGTGAGAATTGAGAGATGCAAAGATTGCAGAAGCTTGTAGAAGTGCTCTAGATTTGAGGGCTGAAAGTAGATTTTACTTAGTTGCCAACATTATAGTCTTAACTGAATGCTAACCCTTCAATTTTCCTTTTCCTTTTGTGTTTCCACCTCATCCATCAGTTGAGAAATGCAGTGTAACAAATTCACAGCAACAAAATATTCTTAGCATAAAAAACCAATATTCTTCCTGATCCCAGTTGATATATACAGTGAATTGGACATGAAATCAACTTGAGTTGATGAAAGCTCGATCAACTTCCAAGCTTCATAAATGAAGGGAGAAATGGAGGTGACTCATCTAATTGGAAGCAATACAATAGTCTAGGATTTAGCAGAGCATCATGTTATATGATATAAGTTTGAATCATGGAAAATTCAAACTGGTATTTGAATTTCCATTGTAATGATTGTTTCCTTTGTTTTCAAATCCCGTCTTCTCATGTTATTGTTATCTTATGTGTGTATATTTTTAGTTTTAATCCAATGCTACACTTTCTATTTTATTCTTTTAAGAAAATATCTTTACTTTTTAGGTTGTGTTTATTTATTGGAAAGTGATTTCTGAAAAATTATTTTTTAAATTTTTTTATATTTGTTTGTTATTAGAAAAACTGGTTAACAGAAAATAATTTCCGATCAATGAAAAACACTTTCCAGTTAAAGAAAAATTTGACTTGATTTCTAAAAAAGTTTTTTTATTTATTTTGAATACAAAATACTTTCTGAAAGTTGTGAAAAAATTAGAAATGTTATATTTTATTTGCTAATTATATCAAATTTGATTCTCAAACTTTTGATTGCTATATATATTTTGTTTTAATTTTTTTTAATTTCATCCCTTAGAATTTAATTTTTGTATTAATTTTGATCCTTATTTTTATAATTGTTATTTGTTTTTTCCTTATCATTTTTTAATTTAAATTTTTTATTTATCATATTTGGTCCTCATTTTCTTGATTATTATTTATTTTATTTGAAATAATTTATGAAATGTTTATCATTATTATTTTAATTTCTTCATCTTTTTATTTTTTTATTTTTTAGATTTGATCTCTATTCTTTTGATTATTATTTATTTTATTTGAGATAATTTATTAAATTATATTTTTTTAATTTTATTTTCATTCAACTTTTTAATTTTTAAGATTTATTCCTTATTATTTTAATATACTTGAAAAAAAAATATTAATAAGTTATTTTATAGTTTATTTTCATGATATAACAAAATACTAAAAAATATTTTTAATTTATGTTCTATTACACTACAAAACATTGAAAAATAATATTTTTTTTGAGAATTTACTGTAACAAAAAACTATTTTCCAATCCTACACACACCACCGTGGAGAAGAAAAAATTAATGTGAAGACAAATTAAATTCATCAAAAAAAAAAAAGAGGCAAAGAGTTGTTCACCTGTCACAGTCGACTTGGGGTTCGATGGGCACAGGTAAAGAGGTAACGGGACTTTGTACAAACGAGGAAGTTAAATTAATGAAATTAATTTGTTAAACCTAAATGCATTCGTGAGCATGGAGATTAATTCAAAATAATTTTGTTTTAAAAGAAAAAATAAAAAATCAATTTATTTGGCGTGGAAGAAGTAAAATAGCCATGCTTATTTGGGCATAGGGATCAACGCCATGTGAACCGGACACAGCGTCACCATCCCATGATGAGAACATCCAAGCCCCCCAATTTATTACAATTGAATGCCTGTCCTTTTCTTCTACACTGGGAATTTTCGTTGTTATCATTTCAATTTCTTATAATGTTTTCACGTTAATTAATGTATGAATAAGTTTGACTTCAATAGTGTTTTGTCTTAATCTAACTCTTCAATAGGGCCAGCATTGTAAGCAAGAGCTGCACTCTTTGAGCATTTACAGAGGTCCCCACGGTCTCGAAATCTCTAGATTTTCCTATCCTTCCTCGTACCCTCTCTCATCACAATCTCTAACATCCATTATCTTTATAAAACAAACATGTACATTACAGGACAGTATGTAAGAACGTCTAGCACAGTATGTACAAACATTACTTATTGCAAGGATGAGGACAAAAGAGATTGATTCATAGCAAATGACGGACAAGATCTGTATTTCTAGAAGGCTGCCGCCTCAAGTTTTTACTGGCTTTAAGTGTTTCCATGTGTCTTCTCATGGGCTTCGTCAACTTTGTAAGAATCGAATTATTGTGTCAAACTTTGCCATCACAGCAGGTTCATTCCTAGGCATTTCCTGGACTTCTTCAAATTAAATGCCTCCAAGCTAAACTCGTTATCATTCTGCTTGTCCTTTCCTTCTCCAGCGCTTCGTCTCTCAACCACTTTGAATCATCTGATCCATCAATGTCTGTAAGTGATTTTCCAACTAAAATATAGTATTTAGTTTCTTTCTCAATAACCACCCCTATTTTTTATTAATGTTTTAATGATGTTTCTCAGTATTGGGATCTCCTTTTCACAGTCCTACATGATGTAATATGTTTCATCAGTCCAGATTTTAAGCATCTTAGTAAGCCCTTTTTGCAGGAGGTTTAGTTTCAGATAAAACTTGTACATGTTAAATAATCTAGCTTGAAATGGTATTTCATAATAAGATGATTTAGTTGTCAGCAACCACTCCCTCCATAATCTATACTATGTTCAAATGAAGTAAAGCTGTTCCACTCACTCACTTGGCACTCTATGCCATGCTATGCTATGACTTGGTGATTTGATGCTTGAAAAATATTGATTCAAGTAAAAATTCCTGTAATGGATTTTTAATGGTTTTCGTAATAGATTTGATGAGGCATATATATATATATTGCATGTGTTAAACTTGGACGCTTCGTAGTTGTTTATCATTTTTTATTCTTTCAATTCAAACTATTAGAGGGAAGAAATGATGACAACTTTCCGAACAATAAACAATTACCAACCCAGGCCAGGAGCTGGCCTAGAAAAATCTTCATCCATCGATTCCTTACAACCCTAACAGGCTTCCAATCTTCATGTATAACAAGCTGTTGTGTTGGATTCTAGTCTGTAAGTATTTGCATACATTAGTCCACGGTCGTAACGAGATTCAAATCATGAATTTGCTCAACATTTCCCCTTTCTTTCCCATGATTTTCTGTCACAGCAACGGTCCCATGTCCCAAAGTTCGGCGGCTGGGATAAAGATAATGTCCCATACACTGCCTATTTTGATAACGCACGGAAAGGGAAATCCGGCGTGAGGATGAACCCAAATGACCCGGAGGAGAATCCAGAGGCCTTCATGTATGCTAGAGGGGGCATGGAAGATGATGTTGATTTTGCTTCCGGAGCCTTTGAGGGAACTAACTCAGAAAAACAGAACATTGAGGGACTCAAAGGGCACAATGCACATTCGATGAGCCCTTCTGACCATCGAAAGAATGCAAGGCACAATAACCTGACATCAGAATCAGGAAGTGAGAAAAGTAGTTCTGACCATTCACTGTTGCAGTCTCAGAAGACTGGTTTGGCTGTTGAGGGAAATAAAGCCTTGTCTTCATCACGACATTCTAGACAGAGAAATGGAAGTACTCATCCATTTGATCATGAGGGTGTAAGTCTTCTGATAGCATCCTAATATTTGTAGAATTCCCTCAGCAGCAGAACCAATAGACTTCATTACTCTTTTCTTCCTTTTGACCTTTTCATACTGCAAGCAGTCGTTCTGCTACTGCAACTTTGATTTAATTTTCTTAAGTTAAATGGGGATGGCAGCATCACAGGGCTGCATCAATTCCCAAATTTGGAGCATGGGATGAAACAGACCCCAGGTCAGGGGAAGGCTTTACTCTGATTTTCAACAGAGTGAAAGAAGAAAAACAAATTGCATCCACCACATTTCCTCCTGTGCCAACCCAACCAGTACGTCTAAGAAACGAAGGAAATTCTTCCTTTCGATCAAAGGTAATTAAGGTGTTGGCTAATTCACTTCATATGATCAACTTCATAACCATAGCATATTACATATTCTGCAGCATGCAGCAGATGTACTAACTACTGGAGAGAATTTTCTAAGACAACTTCAAATCTAAAACTCTTAACAACTTATAAACTTCAATATTCTCCTCTGCTACGCTTCCATTTTGATCTGTCTCAGTTATGAAAACAATACCACTATGATCATGCAGTTCTGTTGCTGTTGCTTTCCGAAGGGGGGAATGAGTGACTAGATGGCTACTTCAGCTTCTTACAACCTTGCTTAGGAGCAGAAGATCATTTCGTTTGATGCAATGCATATATCAATGGTTTCCCACAATTAGTGCCCAAGGATTCTGTAATTTAAGATTTTACTCTTTGCGTTACATTTTTGTTTATTATAAATACGGTAAAGAGAAGAGAAATGTTGGATTTAGCTCATTTTTCATGTGGTTGCATGTCAAGCTTTTCTTCCTAGTATTATAGTCCGTAAATGAATACGAGGAAAGAATTTCCTACAGTTTAAGCCTTTGAAACTGTCCTGTCCTTTTCATTTAATTGTTTTTTTTTTTCTGTGGATAAAAAATTGGTTTGAATTCTGAGGGATAGTCTACCAAAAATCACAAGGTCTGAGGGATAGTCTACCAAAAACCACAAGGTTAAATGCGGCTGTCTCTGTCCTGGATTTTCCAATCTGGTTTTGGGTCATGCTGTATAGTGCAGTGATATTAATTATTGCTGCAGGTTGCTCCCATGTAATTGTTCATTTGTTTTGCTCAAATGCCAACCAAATCCTTGTGGCTCATGAGTCCTGTTTCAACATGGCTATCTCTAGTTTATTCAACGTATCTAGTTACGGTCCTGAAATAAAATAAAAAGGATAGTTGAGATGGATGAAGACGTGTTAAATTTATTTAATTTTTTTTTATTAATATGGTATTTAAATTAACTTGTGTATGTAATTGATTAATTAATTTTATAAATCTTAGAGTTAATGATAATATTTATCTTTAGTGTCCTACTTGAATTCTTAATCATTAAAAAGCAAATCCAAAAATTAATTAATTTTGCTACACCTTAAAATTTATTTTTTTAATATGAAACAAGCTTAAAAACTAAGATCAAATCTAGACCGGCTCTTATTTGAAATATTCAAAACCTAATGGGCTAAAGTTGCCACCCAACCCATGCACATCTGCACCTCTATGTTCTCAAAGATGCCCTCGAAATCATCGATGGAGGGGGTATATGTTGTCTCTCTCTCTCTCTCTCTCTCTCTCTCTCTCTCTCTATATATATATATATATATATATATATATATGTTTTTTAGAAGACAAAAATCTATAATTATGAGCACATATAATCCTACAAATATCAAGCAGTTTTTTTTATAAAAAAAACAATTGATTCTGAAGTGAAATTGAAAACTCGTAACTAAAATTGAACAGTCTTTAAAAAAAATATGTAAAACAAAGATTGAGTTAGGAGTGAAATTGAGAGTTCTTTGGCTAAAAATTTCCAAATTTTGACTGAAGTAGAAAAGGAAATAATCTTTCTTAATAATTAAAAAAGACAACAAGATATTCATAAGCTTATAAAATTAATTAACTTCCTTATATATATATATATATATATATATATATTCCTGCCTTCATGAATAAAGCTCTAGCATTAACTCCGTAAGAAAATTTATTCCTTGTCAAGAAAATTAAGAAGGGAAACGCTAAACCCTAAACCCTAATCCCTTCCAAGCTAATTAATCGAAGTTCATGGCCACCACAGTGAAGAAGCAAAGCCTAGGCCGCCAAAAGATCGAGATCAAGAAAATAGAAAACAAAAGCTCTCTAGAAGTTACTTTCACAAAGCGTCGCAAAGGTCTTTTTAACAAGGCTAGTGAGCTCTGCGTCCTAACCGGAGCTGAGGCAGCAGTTATTGCATTCTCTCCCGGCAAGAAGGCCTTTGCCTTTGGATTTCCCTCTGTGGACACCGTTATAGACCGCTATATAAGCGAAAATACAGAAGAGGGAAGATCAGTACTGAATACAAGTGCTAGTCATCATCGAGTGGTCCAGGAGAGCAGGAAGCAATATGCAGAGGCCCTCGCAAAGAAGGAGGAGGAAAAGAAGCGAGTGGAGACAATGAAAGAAGGTGGGAAAGTTGGGTTTGGACGGGATAGTTTTTGGTGGGATCTGAGTATAGAAGACATGGGATTGGAGGAGCTTGAGCGGTATGTGGCTTCAATGGAAGAGCTTAAGAAGAATGTTGGAATTAGGGTTGATGAGTTGGAGAAGGCAAGCAACTCTCCATCCAGATTCTTGGATTTGGATTCCGGCCTCAACGCAAATTAAGGGTGTATATATATATATATATATATATATATATATATATGAGAGTATCATGGCATCTGCCTAGTTCTGACGTTTTACTAGCTGGCTACTTGTTTTCGTGGCTACATGCGTGGATTTGGAGGCGTACGTACGCAGTCTTATCCTTGTAACCCTCCTCCATCTATTATTAGTGATAATTAAATATTTTATCAAACAGGCGCACGCTTCCATCCAAGACGTCGACAATTTCAACATCAGACCATAGTAAGTTTTTTTTTTAATTTATTTTTCTTCACTTCACTCACTAACTTGTGTAAGACTAAAATTTATAATAATTTTATTCCAAGATTAATTAGTATGATATTTTGGTTTTTATTTTAATAAAAACACTTGACAAACACGTGTAAATTAAACATAATATTTAACTGCTCACGAATGAATCAGGAAGTGGCATTATTGTAATTTAATGTTTGAAACTCATATGAGATAACGGGTAGATATATTGAGATTCCTTTATAGAAAAAAACATTTCGAAAATGGCCACATTTCAAAATATTTGTTTGTAAATCAAAGTGAAGATATAGAGGCCTGGCTAGCTAGCCAGTTATGTTTTTTGTTGCCTAATGTTATATAGTTCTTAATTTTCATTCTTATTTACTTCCCTTGAAACGAGAGACAGAGGGATCATAGTCTTTGCTTGTGTTGCACCTCCTGAAATTGATTAAATTAAATTAAAAGAGGGATCGAAAGAGATGGAGGGGGAGATGCAATCACTTGTTCAAATTCAAAACAGTATCGCCCACTCGTGATGTTCTAGTATCGGCATCATATCCAATCCTTGTGTTCCAAAAAGCCAAGTTTGGTGGTTGTGCTTCCGGTACTGTATTTTTTCTATTCAATTTCTTCTTCTGTTTTTTAAATCTGTTGTGAAGGTAGAATAATATAAATTATATTTTAGTATTTTATTTAATAATTTAAAATTTTTAAATTAAGATAATTTTTTAATATGGTATCAAAATTTTAATGATTAAGTGGTGATAAATTAAAATATTATTATTTCTATTTATTTAATAAAAATAAAGCATAATCAATCTGTTTAAATTTTAAATCCAAAAAAATACCACATCTAAGCTAACTTAAACTTTTAAATTAAAATAATTCTTTAATATATCCAAGAGCAAGGCATTGATGCCTTACTAGCTGTAAGCTGTCTGCTTTATCTCGTTTTCTTATGCTGGGGTCCTTTGGATGGTCTAAATATTCCCCTCTATTTTCTTCAGAAAAATGAGAGTTCAACATTTGAAATTAATGGTAAGTAATTCCCCAGCTTCGGTTTCATAGGGTGCCCTGATCGTTAGTTAAATTGGGTCAGTATTCCATGCAGCCACGACTATCAACAGGCTCTCCGCAATCAGGTCCAAAATCATCAATTAGAAAGGTAAGCCTCATGTACCAATGTACCATCATTCATTAAAAAGAAGAAGAAGAAACCCTGACCTGTTCTTGGTTGCCAACCTCTTTCTTGTCGAAATATTGTAAGTTACACTGCTTAGGGATCATGGATACTTGTCTATAAATTCTGTTATGACTGATGATACTTCAACTGCTTAATCTATAATTTGTGGCTGCAATAGTTTTGCACTCGCTAGATTGTTGTTCCTAGCTTCTCGTCCCTCGACGAAATGGTCGTGTCTTTGATTTGCTTTTTTGACGATCTCCCTTTCTTGCCTTCCTTGTTTTTCTTCAGATGCCGCTGATCAATTCAGTTACATCGATAATTGATGGCTTGACAATATTGTATAGAGAAAAGCTAAAGCCATTGGAAGTTACATATCGTTTTAATTAATGATTTTGTTTCCCCTTTATTGGTGAGTGTTTGCGCATACATTTTATATGATTTATTATTACTGAATCTTTCAACTTCGATAATTCTACGTAATTTCATTGTTTATTCTCTTTGCCTTGGTTATAAATCAACTTTTATCATAGCATCTTGACACCTACATACACACATCTTGCAAGACTCTTGTGTGCGTACCAAAACAAAGATAATTGGATTAAACTAGTTGTTCGTAGCATCTTGCAAGACTCTTGCGTGCGTCATGTTGATTTTGGTTGCTTCTTTCTCATTTTTTTTTTATTGGCCGGAGCTCACATTGGACCAGAGCCGACAACTGACGGATTTGTTGCTGTAATGGTATAAACATTTTCATGCTCTTGTTTTATTTTGAAAGCATTTATATCTTTTTACATTCATGGCTTTTGCCTTTGTAACATCTATCAAGCTCATACCAATACATCATTTGAGTTGCTAACAGATCTTGTGATTTGATGATAATCGATAATTATGATTACTTCATTTTATTTTCATGACGGATGTTCAGTTTGTTTTATCATTGTTTCCACTTGCTCATAGTCTTCTTAAATTCAGTCTGGATCTGACGAAAGAAGTTCACCTGGGAACACTGCTGCTGTTCAGGCAGATATGCCATTTAGGGGCTTAACAAGTTTTGGAGGAGCATTCCTATAAAAGTTTGAGTGTTCTCGAATGCCTCATCCAGTAAGTTTACGTTTGCATTTAATTTTTCTCTGCTGTTATCTACTCTCGACTCTGTTATTTATTACCTCTCCTGCTGTGGATGCACATGCAGCTGCTAGATGAAATCACAATTATTGACACTCCTGGGGTTCCAACCAGAGAAAAGCAACGAGCACAAAGGAGTTATGATTTTACTGGTGTTATATCATGGTTTGCAGAAAAAGGTGATCTGATTCTTCTTTTGTTTGATCTTTATAAACTTGATATGAATGATGAGTTTAAGCGAGTAATTGCATCTTTACGAGCCAATGATGGCAAAATACGCGCGTGTTGTGTTGAACAAGGCTGACCAAGTCGATACCCAACAGGTTAGATGCTTTTTTTCTCCTACTTTCACTTCTAAAAACTGAATGCCATGTAACCATCTTATCTGTCGACATCATTTTATAGTTGATGAATATTAGAGAAGAGGATAAATTATATTTTAGGATTTTATTTAATAATTTAATTTATTAAATTAAGATGATTTTTTGATATAATATTAGAGTCTTGATGGCTAAGCGGTTATGAATTCGAATCTCATAATCCTTCATTTATTCGATAAAAATTAAGTCCAAAATAATGTGGGCTTATACAAGTTTTAAATCTAAAGGATTTTTACTTGAGAAAGTATATTAGAGAATAAGATAAGTTATATGTTGAAATCTCATTTAACTGTTTAAGTTTTTAAATTAAAATGGTTCTTTAATATAATATCAAAGCGTTGATAACCAAATAATCATGAGTTTGAATTTCATTATAGAATTTTTACTTAAAAAAATATATTAAAAAATAATATAAATTATATTATAAAATTTTAATTAATAATTTTAATTATTAAATTAAAATACTAATGTGGTCTCTTGGAAAAGTTCTGAATACTCCTGAAGTTTCTCGTGTTTATGTTGGGTATATGCCCTTTCTGATCTTTTGCTCTTAAAATCTTAACCTCTCCTTAGACTGCCATGCCGCCCCCGTGACCATTTCATTTGCTGCTGCCTATTCTAACTCGTTATATTCATCTGATTAATTTCTATCATCTTACTGCAAGATTTTCCTTTCATATATGTTTGATTCCTGTCGATTGTGGTACTTATATCTACATGGTCGGCCCTAGATGTTCTACTTGTTCAAATCCAATGTCATTTAAGAGATCCTGGCATTATTTGCAACTGTAGATTCTAAGTCTGTTAGTCTTCTGTTTTTCTCGCAGCTCATTCAATGACAAACCTATTGATGAAGAAACTGCCAGCCCAATGTTCTGTGATCTTCTTGAAAAAGAACGGAATGACCGTCTCATGGACTTGCTTGATATATATTCCTAAGAAAGCTTGTGATCGTCGAGTATGTTCAGCATTTTCAACTCAATTTTTTGTGGTTTTCTGCTTATCCTGACATCATATCTCTATGTGATTCTCATTTTTGTGCATGTGTTTAATGAGCACCTGTGGGCTGTGTGTTTCTACAATGCATGCTTTGTATATCTGTATATATCTAATTCCTGGGCAGTTGTAGTTTTATTGAAACTACTAGCTAGTTAATGGTGAGATGGTATCTGCATCCGACAGAGATCAATGAGTTTGTGAAGCGTGCTAGAGCTGTTAAGATCCATGCCTACATAATTAGCCATCTCAAGAAGGAGATGCCTTCTCTAATGGGCAAGACTAAGACTCAAAAACGCCTTATCAATAATCTTGAAGATGAATTTGCAAAGGTTTTTTAATCTTTGACCTTTTTTCTTTGTTCTTCCTTCCCTCTTTATCTAGTGTATTCATATGCATAAACCCCAATTTTTTTCTAAGCAGGTCCAGAGGGAGTTTCATTTACGAGCTGGAGATTTTCCAAACGTGGAACACTTCAAAGAAGCCTCGAAAGCTTACAGCATTGCCAAATTCGAGAAATTGTAGCCTAAGATGATACATGCTGTTGATGACATTAATTGGCCATGAAATTCCGGAGCTGTTGAAAAGTTTTAGGAATCCTTACGCATAGAGCACCTCTAAACAAATTCAGAAGTGAAACAGAGCGGTGTGACGAAGGCAGAAGGGTGTTTGTTGCAAGAAGTGCTGTGGTAACGCGTACTTGTCTTATGTAAATATATTTTATTACATGCTTGTTAACATAACATTTGAAGCTTTGCTGAAAAGCTTGCTTGGATTTTAAGCATGATTGCCAGTTTTTGAAAGGGATGATGATGCGTTGCAGAAATTCTGGATTTCGTATTCATTCATTGTTTTGGGTGATCGCTGTGCTTTCCTTGCAATCACCGTTTTGTCTTATCCTTAATTCTAGGTTGGTGACGAGCAACGCTTGAGGGTGTTTTTGCTATATCTAATCTATACTGAGTCTTAGAATATATATTTTGAAAGAAAAAAAACTATATATAAATTTTTAAAATATTTTTTTAAACTAATAAAAATAAATAGTAATTCATAATATTTATTATAATATAAAAATCTAAAATTTAACTAAAATAATATAATATTTAAGCACTTTAATACTTCAAATCAAGACTAAAAGAAAAATATCGTTAAAAAACAAGTAAAGCATATAAAAATAAATAAATAACATTTAACTTGCTAATAGAAATTAAGCTAAAAATAATATTTAAAAAAAATAAGTTCAACTAACTTAGTGAAGAAATAACATTTAATATTCATTATAGATATTTATAAGTTATGGGTCATAAATTGTAATATAATAATAATATAAGAACTAAAATAGGTGTGTATATACATATTAAGCATCTTAATATATGATAATGAAATGCATGTTAGATAACAGATAACAGATGAAACTCCAAAAACTTAATAATAAGTGAGATTTGCAGCCTTGATAATAGACGATGTTTGCAACCCCGATAATAGATAAGGTTTGCAATCCCGGTTCATTGTGGAAAGATAGTCACCACAAGTTAGTACTTTCACTAACTATGTGTATAGATTATTAAGTGTACATAAATTAACTACTCTTTATTAGTATGAAATTTTTAACAAATATCTCGATATCCAAACATAACAGATATTCTCATATATATATATATATATATTCAACAAATTAATTAATGAGTATTCAAAAAATAAATCAACATATTTAGATATTTATAAAAGTGATACGTACTCATTATATAATCAACATATGTAAATTATTTATATTACATGCATATTTAAAATTATCTTACTCACTTAAAAAATGAAGATAAAAGACAAACAGACATAAAAATGGAGACTACTAAGGATCGCTAAGAGAAACATCAGTAGTACCTATTATGAATACAGAAAAATACTCAAAAACAACTTGAAAAACATAAAAGATTACTACTATAAAATTAGAGACTAAAACATAATTATAAAATCAAAACAAATTGACCCAATCGATCCTGAACATATCTCAAACTAGAAAAAGCGATCAACCCCCACTGCTTAGCCAATTGGTTGACCAAAATTTAGCAATCAATCAATCAAAACTATCAAGCCAATCAGTTGACTAGTTAAGTAGGATTTTAGAATCTCGATTTACTAGTCTTCCAAAACTATAAATCTTTAAAACTTAACTCGTTCTTAAAAAATACATAGCTTCAATCCTCGTATCACTTCTTTTTAAGCTAATCTAACACTTTAAAACATCTTAAATTATCTAATTACCAAATTAACATATTAAACATTATAAAATCCCAAAACATTTCTTTAATTTACAAACCTTTAAAATCACCTTGGAACATGATTCTTATAAATCGATTTAGATTTCCTTTAACCCACATGGTATTACTTGTATATTAATCATTCACCTATTCAAAAGCTATCAAAGCTATGATGTTTAATTATCATTTGGGGGGGAGGGGGAAGTTATGATACTTATTTGTTTTTTCAAACCTTTTTTAAAACTTAAAGGCTTAAGTTTAGACATAGCTGAATTATTTGATGATTTTGGAAGAAAAGTTACAACAAGGAAGGGAAAAGAGAAGAAGAGAAAATAAATTCTTTACCAATTTTTTCTTTAAATACATATTTTAGATTGGGTTCTGGGTTTAAATTTGAATCTGATTTGCCAAATCATAAGTTTATCATTTTGTGATGTTTGCCTAAAAACAATGTCAGTGTTAAGAAATTTTAAAATACTTTAGAAATGAGTACTAGCA